CCTCGCCTCGCCTCGCCCCGCCCCGCCTCGCCCCGCCTCCATCTTTTCCCGCCCAGACCGCTCGCCTTCCGGAAGGGGGCGTGACCCCGCAGGAAGTTCTCGCGTTAGGGAAAGGTAGGGATTTCCGGCTCCGGTGTCATGGACGGCTCCTACACTGAAGGTACGCACACCGCGGTCTGCGGGAAGAGGCAGCAGTTCGGGAGCCGGTTTCTGAGCGACCCGGCGCTCGTCTTCCACCACAATGCCTGGTAACCGCCCTGCCCCTCGCCTGGCCTTCGGTTCGCCCTCTGTCCCGGCGCTGCGGAGCGCTCCGAGAAACCCTTGACCGCCGGCCAGAGTCCCGCTGCCCTGCTCGAGGCGCTCTTCTCCCACGGGAGAGGCGCTCCGGGGCCAAGGACTCACCTACCCGCAGCGGGAACCTGAGGCCCCTAAGCTACCCGTTTGATTTTCTCAGGGACAGTGTGGAGTGGTCAGAAGAGCAGGCCGCGGCGGCGGAGAGGAAAGTCCAGGAGAACAGTACCCAGCGGGTGTGCCAGGAGAAACAAGGTGCGCCCAGGTGGGCCCACAGTGGTATATACAGCCAGCGTACTGCTGGACGTGCTCTCCCGGAGAGGCCAGAGAACTGAGGCCGCCGGGTCTTTGTTAGTGGACTGATAGAGAACTCGGGGGTAGAACGGGAGTGGAGGGAATGGGCAAGGATGGGAAAGGGCTGCGCCTTAAAATCTTGTTAGGGCGTAGAGCGTGTTTTGGTTTTGGTTTTTTGTTTGGAAGAAGATAACCATCTTGATAGTATTTTCTAGTGATTTAAGTCTTTAGTTATGTTGACTAGATCCTTGTTAATATGGCTGGTGTGTGGCAACCGTGTGGTCACATGATTGTCTTAGAGAGTGTATCGATACTTTCTACATCATTACACTTCGCCTGAGGAAATGTTGCCATTAAAGCTAGATTCAAGTGGTCAGATTCTAAATATTGTTGGGGGGGATGGCTAATGAGTAGTGAATTATGTGCCTTTTCTTTGTGTGATGGCTATGAGGATTTAGGGCTTCTGCCAAGGAAAGGTGGATGAAGCAGAGTGGAAATAAGTCTGGCCAAAAAAAAAGAGACCCCTTCTGCAGAGGTGGATGATTTCACTGCAACATATCCCTAGATACTGAAAAACTAGGACTGGTTGGGCCTGTGTCCTAAGTGACAATTGAAGGTAGCGCTAGGAATGGGAGAGCAGTACCCACTGAAAGAGTTCTGAACGACAATTAGAAGATTCCGGTTACAAAATATTCACCCTACATAGTTTGACAAAGACTAGATCAAAGCAAGTTAAGGTTGAAAGGGATTTTGAAAATCATATAGTCCAATATCCTCTTTTTACAGTTAAAGAATCTTGGACCTCAGGACATTAAGTGCCTTGCCCAGAGGTAAGCAGTTAGTAGTGGTGGAATTGAAATCCAGTTTCTCGGGTTTTTATTCTTCTACTACACTAGTCAAGGACCTATATTTTCAAAGACCAGAAAACCGAAATCTAGTTATAAACCAGTGTTATCTCAAAAAAAAAATAAATTACTAAAAAGGAAAAACTGAAATCTAGGACTGCTTCAATCACGTTAAACAGCAGCTTTCTTTTAAATAGTCCATACCTTAGTCTCTCTCCTGTACTCTGTCATCAAATCTCTTCTCATCTGAAGACATTTTCCCCTCTTTTCAGCATTTTCTGTTTCCATTTTTAGTCTCTATTAGTAGTAGAGAATTCATTTCTGGGCTCCACACTCTAAAGAATCACTGACAGAGGAACATAATGTAAAGAGCTACCTGTATCATAACCATTGATTTCACATGGGGAGTAACTGAAGAATCTGGGACATTTAGCTTGTAAAAGAGGATTTAGAAGGGGAAATAATTGTCCTCAAATACAAAAGAGTTGTTCTCTTTGGCCCTGAGAAATAGTAGGACCTTTTGATCAGAAATGATTAGACAGATTTTTTGCTTAATATTAGGATTTTCTAGTAGTTAAGAGCCATCCAAAGATGTGAGGGGAGATTTGATAGGTAGTAAGTTCTCTGGCAGAAGTTGAACTCCCTGGAAGGACAAGATACACAGCAAATTCAAGTGTGATAGGTGGTAGGACTAAATGACCACCAGCTCTGAGACTGTGGCTCTACTTGAGTATAACTTTTAGTACAAATTTTGGTGAAGCAGGGTGGTGATTTACACTATATACAGATAAAATATTGAGAGATGGTTCTTAAAATTCTTTCTTAACTATCTACAGTTGATTATGAGATCAATGCCAACAAATATTGGAATGACTTCTACAAAATCCACGAAAATGGGTTTTTCAAGGATAGACATTGGCTTTTTACTGAATTCCCAGAGCTGGCACCTAGCCAAAACCAAAATCACTTGAAGGATTTGCTCTCAGAGAACAAGGGGAGTGAAGTGCCTGCATGTAGAAGCAGTGAGGATGAATCTGGTTTAATAATAGAAGCACAGCACAGTTGTTCTTCAGTCAGCCATGGACATAAAACACAGCCATCTCCTGTGGAAGAGAATGTAACTCAGAAACTCCGTCACCTGGAAATTTGTGCTGATGAGTTTCCTGGATCCTCAGCCACCTACCGAATACTGGAGGTAAACTCCCTTTATTGTCGTGGTAGTGGGGTTAGTGAGGCTGTCTTATGCACATAGGGTGGCAGTAGAGAGGCTGACCACCGAAGTAACTTCTGACTGATGAACCTGACTAGACTGGACCCTTACGTTGGCCTGGAAACACCTCCAGGTGTTTGAACTAATGAAATGCCCTAGATGCAGACCTGATACCTGGTGGTCATGGCACACAAAGACAGATCATCTGCTATCTGGGAGCATTATATTGCATCCAGAAGTTGTAGCATCCTGCTGTACCTGCCGTCTAGTAAAGAGTCCCAGGTCAGAAGACAACTTTTGTTACTTCTAAGATAGTTATGAGATGGAGAGGTTAGTTGCGGTGGTACCTACTCTCAATTGTGGGAGAATTCTTGTTTTCTCAGTTTGGATGTGTGGCAGAGGCTAGGCTAGACCCGAAAAAGTGTCTAGGGTGGGCACTGTAACAAATATTCACAGAAGTGACAACACACTCTACCGGAAGCTGACTAGTTTGGGGACTGAGTCCTCTGGCATGACTTTGTGCTAGTCCCTTACCCAGCAGAATGGGACTTCTGCCTCTCTCTGCCTCATAGTTGTTACGGGGGTTAATTGAAGTAAGATATGTAAAATGACTGAGAATAGTGTCTGGCACGCAGTAAGCCCTTAGTAAATGGTGCTGTTTTTATTATTACCACACCCAGCGCTGAATTTAGGACAGTGTTGCCATGGTTCTCCTTTCATGAATTTTTCAACCCAGTCTGCTAGAAACATTTTTCCAATAATGATATAGTGGAGCTCAGTAAGAAAATGTTTTGTTTACAGGACCATTTGCCAAAACTCAGAAAGTAAAAGCAGCCCATGCCTTTTTTTCCAGACCATCTCCCTCCCGCTAGTGAAAGCCCATGCTCTCATCTTTTATGACTATCTCTTTAAGGGTTCCCGAGGTCAAGGGCAGGGAATGTCATGGGTACTATTTAGCTCTGGTCGCTACACCTTCCCTAATACAATTAGACAAGATTATCCGTTGTTGGTTATTTATCTAGCTTTAGGGAATTAATTCTTTGGAAAGTTCTGTGATTAATAGTTCATTTCTGTCTACAGGTTGGTTGTGGTGTGGGAAACACAGTCTTTCCAATTTTACAAACTAACAAGTAAGTTTGTTGTAAAGTTTAACTACATGACAGCAAAGAAGAAAAAAGTGAGAGGTTGTTGTTTCTTAGAACTCTTACTGCATCCAAGTGGTAATGGTGGTTATTGGGAATTGTGGGTTATAGGAGATTAGATATCTACATTATCCATTTATGGATTGTCTTGACTTAATTTTATTTATAAGTTATCTTTGTCATCAGAGAAATTAGTGGGTATTAAACCTGTTGCATTGTTAATATATGGTGCCTTCATATTTTAACTCTGCTACATAGAAAAGAGAATAGACATAGTACAGTTTGTAATCTCATTGTTCTGTTTTTTCTGCCCATTTCAGTGACCCAAGACTCTTCGTTTACTGTTGTGATTTTTCTTCCACAGCTGTAGAACTGGTCCAGGTAAGTGCAGTGCTCCTATCACTAATTTTCATTGACTTAAGGGGGAAAGGGTCTGCTAAAAATCAAGGTCTCTAGCTATTTTCTTATTGTACTGTGGTCTGAAAGTAAAAGATGTACTGAAACAGCATGGAGTAGATGAAAGGGCCAAATGTGAATACAGAATATGTTGCTTGCCTGCTGTGAAACTTTGGGCGGGTCTCTTGACCTACCCAAACTCATGTTTTAAGGATTAAAATGAGGTGATTATTTCATTCAGGATTCTTTGAATTACAAGTTACAGAAACTTCTAGACAAACTCAGCTAAAGGGAATAAAGGGAATGTCATGGAACTCAAGGGCATAAAGTGTAGCCAGGACTAAAACTCAGCCCTGAAAAGGTGTCAGGTACCAAAGGCAAACTGGCTGGCTGGTGAGATGTTGCCGCCCCCTCCTATCACAATACCTCCCTCAAGTTCACAGTGTCTTATCTCTCATTGCCCATTTGCCTTTTGTTTTGTTTTTTCTCTGCAGACCAGCTTTCTCTAATAAGTTTTTCCTGCTTTTGCACATGGCCTTGGCCTCAGCATGCTTGCCCCTCCCAGTCCCTTACAAGTCTCCCCTCTTCACGTGTTCCCAGAACCTCCCCTGAATGACAGTGTCTTGATTCCAAAGTCCCCAGAAAGTCTGATTGACTCAACCCAGCTGACAGTCTACTTGCCCTGTTTCAATTAGCTGTGGCCAATGAGGAACAAAGTCACATTTTTGAAGAAGAGACATGTGGATAGGGAAGTTACCCTAAAAATGTGCGTGTTACAATAATGTATGATGCTCCTAGCGTAGGAGCTCAGGAACTGGTAATAATTCTGGATTTTTTTTTTTTTCTTCAATGCTTGGCTTGCATGATCTAAGTTCCCTGACCAGGGATCGAACCCAGGCCCCTAACAGTGAAAGCATTCCCTAACTGGACCTCCAGGGAATTCCCACTTCTGGAGCTATTCTTGCAAACCTATACCAGACAAATATTGAGGCTTATCCTTAGTTAATTTAATGATAATAAATTGTAGATTAAATCTTCCACATCTAGAGAGAGAGATTTTCCTGGAGAATTCTGTGATCTATGTGATATGCTGTAGTAGGAGTTTAAATCATGCTTTTTCAGTACGTTTTGTTTTCCTCCTTATGAGGTTTCTCTTTGCCCTTTTGGTCACTTACCTTCCTGGTCATTTTCCAGTCCTCAGATCTGACTCCGCATCAGAATAAAGACTAAAATTAGAGGAGTTGGGAACGTTACATTTTAAGCATACCAGTTAGATTCCACAGGGTCCTAGAGTTGTTCCTGATTCTTACCCTAAGAGTAAGAATGTTTGCCATAATGGCAAGAACTATCTCCTCAGTGGGAAGAGGCGGTGGTTACGTTTAAAGCAAGGTAGCTTTTCTTGAGGCTATGTGAACATTTTCTAGTCTGTGTCCTCTCTTGCATATATGTCTGCAGACAAATTCAGCATATGATCCTTCTCGGTGTTTTGCCTTTGTTCACGACCTGTGTGATGAAGATAAGAGTTACCCGGTGCCCGGGGATAGTCTTGATGTCATCATCCTCATATTTGTTCTCTCAGCAATCATTCCAGACAAGTAAGTTTTAGATCCCTTAGCCAGTAGCATAGCAAAAATAAAGCTTTGGTCAGGGACCTGGATGTCAGAGTTGGAACCTAAATAAGAAGGATTTTATTAATGTTCTGATAGGCAGGAAGAAGCTCCTCTATCCTAGGAGCAGTAGGAGCTTCTCAACTATTTTTCTAAATTTGTCTTGGAGTCCAACTTCTGGTTTAGCATCTAAACCTCTGCTCGTTGACTGCAGTGCTCGGTTCTTCTCATGATTATGGTTTAACATCCCCAGAGAGTGAGGGGGCTGTCTTAGTGGGTGTGTGGAAATTTCCTACTGACCATCACATAGCATGATGTCTTAGAACTGTGGATGCCACAGCTATTAGAGAACATCCCATTATTGGTCTTTCAAATGCTTTCAATAAAACCAGCTTATTAACAGCACAAAATTTACAGTGAAGTTTAACTCAGGTGTTCTCTGTTTAAGTTCTTCAGAAAACTGTAGTACAGGAGAATTCCGTAAAATCACGATTAGATAAACAGAAAGTCAGTTGGTTTGCCCTGAAAGATACCATTAAAGTCTCCTAGACAGGCAGCCAGTTGTCCCGACGAAGGTGAAATACTGTCTCAAGGAGGCAGTAGCATTCGGGGCAGTTGCGGGGGGTGGGGGGTGACTGACTTTCTCTAGCCCACATTTCCTCTAGGATAGCATTGTGTCATCTGACCTGACAGGGATATTGTGAGTGAGAAATAAAGGCAGGTGGAGGGCAGCCCAAACAGCCTGGCATGGTTTTAAACATTAATTGCAGAAGCTTACATGCTATACACTTTTAAAAACTGATATGGACTGAAACAAAACATTAAAATTAAAAATTCATTATTCAATATTTAAATAGACTTTCAAATGGTTTTTGTAAGTTTGAAGCATTTATACTTTTGTAGTGGTTAAAGCTGAAACCTGCACTGAGACTCTGTATATGGAAAGTGCAGTCAGAAGTGTAAAGCAGTCTGTCCAGAGTACTCACTTGCATACAGACTGTATCACCATGTAAATTGTAAGTTCTTGAGGTTCAGTCTTCATTTAACAGATGGAAAGATGCAGGCTGCATTCAAAGAGCTTGGGCCTAGTGGGGCAGGCAGATGGGTCAACTAGCAGTCTCCACACCGGGTGGTCAGGGGTCCTCTCAGATCCGTGGGAGCCTGGTGTAGGATTGGCTTCCCCATGAGGAGTGGGAAGTGAATCAGGCAGAGAGCACGTAACTTCCGCCGTGGTGGACCTCTGCTGAAGAAGCAGGCCTCTTCAGACCTCTTCATACTGAAGGCAGTGGATTGGAGGCACAGTTGTGAGCAGGCTGCAGAAGGCGCAGCAGAGGTTTGGGCGTGTGCTCAGGTTATAACTGAAACAAGAGCGGAGGAGATTTCAGGGCTTTTCGGGATATGCTACAGGGGAGAGGAACCCTGTCCTTAAAGAGATCTGATCTTCGTTCCCTGCTGCCCCACAGGATGCAAAAGGCTATCAACAGGCTAAGCAGGCTTCTGAAGCCTGGAGGGATGATGCTTCTGCGAGATTATGGCCGCTATGACATGGCTCAGCTTCGGTTTAAAAAAGGTATTTTCCCACTATAATCAAAACAACGGTTTTGCCATAAGAATAGTCATACAAATCAGTGGAATAAAATAGAGACTCTCAAATTATATAGCTCCATACATAAAGCTATTTAATACATGGAAAGGGTGGTATGTTTTTGAAGACTTGTATAATCTAGGTATTAGGGAGGTCTTTTTTAGAAAAAGGCATTTGATTACATAAATAGTTTTTAAGTGTGGTATGGCAAAAGATGCCATTAAAGTTAAAAGACAAATGACAGATTGAGGACAAATATTTTCAGTTAAAGGAACAGATAAAGACAATGTCAGTGCTCTTCAAGCAGGGCTGTTGGCAGATTGATAAGGGAAAAGATCAGTGACCCACCAAAAAACAGACAAGAAGTGTTTTAGAGTTGATTTACTAAAGAGCAGATCCAAATGGCCGAAACCAAAATTTCAAGAAAATAAAAATAACAATGAGATTGTTGCTGATTCAGAGAAAGATACACTCTTCCATTATTGGTAGAAATAGGAATGGTTACGGCCTTTCTTTAAGCATCCTAATGTTATCTATCCAATCCAACAGTCCTTTTGGGATTTATTCAAGAACCAGCACATAATATGTGTATAATAAGCAAAATCTTGGAAACAAAGTGACTGCCTCTGGATAGGGGAATGTTGTGCATATCACATGAGATAGACCCCATACCACTGGTCTTGGGGGGGTTTCCATGCTATATTACCAAGTGAGAAAAGCAATGTGCACATGGGTATTTTAAATTTAATCCTATGTATAACAGTAACTGGGGAAAAATAAGATTATTTGGACATTCAAAAGGTGTAGAAGGATTGATTACATGTCAGGTTGTTAAATTGACAAGGTCAGGGGGCTTAGCAGCAGGAGGGGAGGTTTGTGTCTTTGATAAAAACAGTATATATAATCATATTTATGAATGCATGTGGATACGTGGAGAGACATGCAAAAGGACAGTCACTAAAACAGGAATAGTGGCTGTCTCAAATTTCCTTAAGCTTAGCTATATTCCTTGAGGTTTTTTTAAACGTGTTTTCAGAGGGGCAGAAGGCCGTTTAGAAAGTTGTTTCTGTTTTTAAACAAAGTGTATGTGCTATTTATTTAATCGGGGAGGGAGGGAAAAACAAGCTATTTTCATCATGAAACGGAACCGTAGAACAGGGGGCTGAGAATTGCATGTGTTAGCTAACACTGAAGTTTGATTATTCCCCTTGGGCTGCTCTTCTCCAAAGCACCATTCCTTTGTAGGAGAGAAATTGCAGATTCCTGCAAAGTACCAGTGTAACCAAGAAAAGGATCCGTTCTTGGCCCAAGAAATTGATATCTTGATGCACATTTGATTGGCAATGAAATTCAAAGAAGTGCTTTAAAGTTTCTCTGGTCTTTACCACATCACTCTGCAGGTCAGTGTCTGTCTGAAAATTTCTATGTGAGAGGCGATGGCACCAGAGTGTACTTCTTCACGCAAGGTATGAAAGCACTCGTCTTTATGCTGACAGCCCCCACAGGGCCAGATTACATGTTCCTCCGTGTGCTTTCAGAAGTGAAATCATCTGGACCCTTCTATCTTTCGCAGCCTCTTCTCTGCCCTTCCCCACCTCTCAGCCTACCTTCAGCCACCTTGAACCACTCACTGTTCTCCAAGTAGGCTCAGCTTGTCAGATCCTTCTGTCCCTCCTTTGCTCTTCTACTGGCTGCTCTTCCTCTCTGTCACTTTGTCCAGAACAGGAACCTGCCCATTTTGCAAGACTCCACTGTAGCTGTTTCAGGCTCTAAGCTGGGTGGTACCTTAGGTGCACCTGAGTTACGGTGAACTCATGGCCCCCTGGGTTCCAGGTGTAACTCAGAACTGCTCTCCTCTGCTGCTTGTCCTGCTGCTGGTTTCCTCCTCCTCCAGTGCCTTATGAATACTTCATTCCTGGGCCGTTTGTCAGGTCGCATACTTTTCTGAACCTTTAGTTAGTGATGGAACCTCTCTCCTAAAAAGAAAAAAAAATGGCTTTGACATGCCATATATGTCAATTTTTGCATATAATTGTAAGGTGTACATAGAACCCTAGAAAATTCTTTCCCGTCAGCTAACTTTTAGAGAGGTTCTCCCTGTGGGTTCCAGGCTGCCGTTCACTCATGGTTTGCCTTCCCCTACCTAAATGTGGACTTGCTGCTACCAAGCCACTACTGCATGTGTAACTAAACAATACTGTTCAAGCCATTTAAAATCTATAAATAAGGACAGCGATCTCACAGAGTGCCATTTAACATGGGAAGTGGTAGGCACAGTGCTTTTTCTTCAGGGGAAAATATATAAACATCTCTTTCCAAACTAGATGAACTGGATGCACTTTTCACTACTGCTGGACTGGAAAAGGTTCAGAACCTGGTGGATCGCCGGTTGCAAGTGAATCGAGGGAAACAACTGACAATGTACCGAGTTTGGATTCAGTGCAAATATCGTAAGCCTCTTCTGTCCAGCACCAGCTGAGAGGCACCTGCTCCTGACAGGCGAGGTCACTGGGGCTTTTTTAAAAGAACGCCCACAAATGGTGTCTTGTAGATATTAAACCATTCAAGCATTCCAACAGATTTGAACCTAGGAAGAATTCTTTTATATCAAGATTCTAACCATTTTTTATAAATCAGAAACACACCATTGTATAGCAATTATACTCCAATAAAGATGTTTTTAAAAAAACACAACAACAACAAAAGATTCTAACCATTTTTGCTTCATATTTGTGAAGCCCTGTGGTATATACGTTTCTCATTTTTTTTTCTTACTTAGAGATCTCAAAGAATCTTTCTTGCCATTTTGTAACTTAATAGTTGAAATGTAATTCATGGGAATCAAAGAATTTATTTCCATGTGTAAGTATTATATATGATGAAGTGAATGACTAAGTTGCATTAAATTAGTTGGGGATTCAAATGCCTAGACTAAGAAATTGATACAAAGATGACTAAAGGTCTCATTCAGTGGTCATCAGGGATGCAAATTAGGAAGAATCACCTGTCTTTGGATATTGTAGTGACTCAAAAAAAGAGCATCAAAATACGGTGTCCTTGTTAAGTATTTGGTCATGGTCTCTGCTTGACCTTAGTTCCATGGAATTTTAAGTACTGTTTCCCCATCTAAGTAACCTGCATCTAAAAAAATTAAAAGGATCTTCACTTTTAGCAAATTGTCTTTCTCTGTGTGCCCTTAAATGTTTGACTGAGAGACATTTTAGCCATTTCACTTCTGAATGTGATCCTTTCATCCCTGTTACTTTTTTAATGTGATCGCCCCCATTGATGGTCCACAAACTATATGATGTGTTCTTCATTTTACTGAATTAAGAATTTTCAATTCTTCATTCCTACATTTTGGGTTTTTAACTCAAACTTTAATATTCTCATAATTGTTTATTTATAAAAATATAAGTCATAAGCATTTATTTTAATAATTCCAAACTTACAGAGAAGTACAGTACCAGAAATACTGTGAGAATAGTCAACTTTCTTCTGAATCGTTTTTTCTTTTCTTTTCTTTTCTTTTCTTTTTTTTTTTTTTTTGGCCATACTGCATGACACGCGGGATCTTACTCACGCGGGATCTTACTTCCCTGATCAGGAATCGAACCGGTGAACCCTGCAGTGGAAGCACGGAGTCTTAACCACTGGACCTCCAGGGAGGTCCCTTGAACCATTTTTTTTTTAAAAAAGATTTAGTTATTTTTGGCTGTGTTGGGTCTTCATTGCTGCGTGCGGGCTTTCTCTAGTTGCAGCAAGCGGGGGCTACTCTTCATTGCGGTGCACGGGCTTCTCACTGTGGTGGCTTCTCTTGTTGCGGAGCACGGGCTCTAGGTGCACAGGCTTCAGTAGTTGCAGTACCCAGACTCAGCAGTTGTGGTTCGCGGTCTCTAGAGCACAGGCTTAGTTGCTCCATGGCATGTGGGATCTTTCCAGACCAGGGCTGGAACCCGTGTCCCCTGCATTGGCAGGCGGATTCTTAACCACTGTGCCACCAGGGAAGTCCCCTTGAATCATTTTTAAGAGTAAGTTGCAAGGTGATATCCCAACACTGCTGCATATTTTATACTGTGTAATTCGTGTAACTGAAGATGTTCTCCTATATCACCGAATATATCCATCAGAAGTGGATAATTAACATGGAAATCCTACTATCCACAGGTAACCAAGTTTTCCCAGTGGTCCCAATAATATCCTTTATCATCAAAAAAAAAGCCTTCTGTTTCATATAGTAGTCATTTCTCAGTCTCTTTCAGTCTGGAACAATCCTTGAGGTTTGTTTTCATGATCTTGACATTTGAAGATTACAGGCTATTTTGCAGACTGCCCTCAAATTGGGTTTGTTAATGCCTCATGATTTGGTTCAAGTACATATTTTGGGCAGGAATATCAGAAGTGATGCTGTTATGGTCCATGATTTTGATGAACCCTGGTGGTGGTGGTGTTAACTTTGATCACTTAATTGGGGTGGTGCCTGCTGGGTTTCTCCACTGAAAAGTTCCTAATAACTATTTTGTAGGGTAGTGCTTTGAGACTAAATATCCCATTCCTCATTAAACTCTACCCCTTAGCTTCAGCATCTTTTGCTGTTTCTTGGCTGAATTACTACTATGATGGCAGCCAAGTAATGTTTTTGAATCCCACATTCCTCCTATACTTATTGGTTGGCATTCTACCATAAGGAAGGCTTCCTTTTCTCTATTCATTTGCTTATGGACTCATAGGTTTCTGTTTTACTCAATGATTATTATATATTACTATCATTTTGATACTTTATGATATTGATGCTCATATTGTCCTGGATTTGGCCAGTGGGAGCCCCTTCAAATGCTTTTGTGACCTTTTGATATGTGCAGGAAGCAGGAAAAGACTCCACTTTTAAAAAAATTTTTTTATTCATTTATTTATTTTTTTGGCTGCATTGGGTCTTTGTTTCTACGTGGGGGCTACTCATTGTGGTGGTTTCTCTTTGTTACAGAGCATGGGCTCTAGGTGCATGGGCTTCAGTAGTTGTGGCACACGGGCTCAGTAGTTGTGGCTCACAGGCTCTATGGAGCGCAGGCTCGGTAGTTATGGCGCATGGGATCTTCCCGGACCAGGGCTCGAGCCCGTTTACACTGCATTGGCAGGCAGATTCTTAACCACTGCGCCACCAGGGAAGTCCCAAGACTCAGGTTTTATACCTAAGTGCAAAGCACAAGGTAGGTGCTGGGAAGAAGGAGTAAAAACTGTTCCTGTTGTTATGAATGCTTTAGAGATGCTGAGGGAAGGTCTTTAGTGAATCATTTAATATATCTGTTCTTCATTTCAAAGGACAAATGAAATACCATTCCAGTACTTCAAGCACAAGTTGTTCCAGGCTCACCTTGTACTTTCTCTGCCCCGGTCTGAACCAGCTATTTCCCCCAAGGAGTTCTACTTTCTTTTAATAGAGCAAGGTATTTAGAAACCAAGCCAGGGGTGCTCATTGCTATTGTGGTGCCTATTCCCAGGCCCCCTCAGTGGATGGATGGAGCTCAGGGATATATGTATATGTATACATACTTACATCTATATTTCTGTACTTAAATATATATTGAAAACCAGTTCAAACCAGTACCTTTGATTCCAGTCCAATACCACAGGATTTATTCTAGTTTTTATTCTTTCTCTCTGTACTTGTTCTCTTTTCCAACAATCCCAAATGCCCACAATCCTCAGCATATTGGGATAATCCAGTCATATGTAACCGTTCTTTTGTCACCACACATGGATGCCCTCTCACCTCTTGGGCTCTTTGACACCCTCTCTAAGCCACTGTTTCCATCATTACCTCACCTAGACACCCTCCTCACCCAGACACCCTCCTGCCCTGGATTCAGCACCCCACAGAGCCGCCACCACCCCTCTGCCCCTGCACTAACACCTACCTTGCTTGGTTTCACCTGTTGAGTTTTAAAAGGTAGGAGTAAAGGAGCTCCCATCTTTTCCATTGTAATGAATTTATTTAAAATGAAAACACTGGGGCTTCCCTGGTGGCGCAGTGGTTAGGAATCCGCCTGCCAATGCAGGGGACACAGGTTCAAGCCGTGGTCTAGGAAGATCCCACATGTTGCATAGCAGCTAAGCCCATGCGCCACAACTACTGAGCCTGCGCTCTAGAGCCCGCAAGCCACAACTACGGAGCTCACGTACCACAACTACTGAAGCCCGTGTGCCTAGAGCCCGTGCTCGACAACAAGAGAAGCCACTGCAATGAGAAGCCCGCTCACTGCAATGAATAGTAGCCCCCGCTCGCCACAACTAGAGAAAGACCACACACAGCAACGAAGACCCAGTGCAGCCAAAAATAAATAAATTTTAAAAATAAAATGAAAACAGAGTCACTGGAATGTATTTCATTTGTCTTTTGAAATGAAGAACAGCTATATTAAATGATCCACTAAAGACCTTCCTTGCAGAAGTCCGCAAGGCTGTGATAGACTTCACCTCAGAGGTCACCTACGCCCAGCCAGCTGAGGGGGCATCTCCAACAAGGTCTCCATCCATGCAGCAGTGACAGGACTCCCAGTGGAGGAGGTGGTCTGCATCAGTGCTGGCGTCAGCACCGCTCGCTACAAGCTGATGGTGGCAGATGCTGTGATTGAGAAATTTGCTTCAATTAAGAGTGAAATTGAAAAACTGAAGATGAACAAGGACCACTTAGAGAAGGTTTTACAAGGTGGGTCAGCAAAAGCCAAAGAATTAGTATATCCCATGTGCCAGGAGATGAAAAAATTGGTGGGATTTCTATAAGAAGTTTCAACTAGTCACAAAAAGGCTTTTCTATGTTTTGGTCTGTGCACTCCAGTAAAGGCAGCTTTCCTCACAAGAGAAAAATTATAGTTTGGGGACACTTAATTTGGTACATCTGATCATTGGCTTCATTTGATGAATAATGATTTGTAGCTTTCAAAAACAGCAAGAAAACCTTCCTTTTGCATCACTGAAGCATTTCAAAGCAACAGGAACAATTTTTATTCCATCATCCTAGCACCTGCCTTGTGCTTTGGGCTTAGGTATAAAAGTTGAGCCTTTTCCTCCCCCTCTCCCGCTCCCTGAACCTCTCTACCATCTGCCAAGCTCTCTGACTCTTTTATCTGTCAAGCTAACTCGAACTCTGTAAGGGACTTTGCATAATTTTTCAGCCTTGGAAGCACTAATGGGGGGCAGAGGACATTTAAATATGGTCAGGGTAGATTAAAATAAGACCTCAGTGCCACTCAAAAAAATAGACTGCCTGGACTGTAATAAGTCTGACTCCAGTCTGACTCTATACTCTTTTTTTGAATTTTATTTTATTTACTTTTTTATACAGCAGGTTCTTATTATCTATTTTACACGTATTAGTGTATATATGTCAATCCCAATCTCCCAATTCATGCCACTACCCCCCCACCCCACCCCCCTGCCACTTTCCCCCCTTGATGTCCATACATTTGTTCTCTACATCTGTCTGACTCAATACTCTTAAAGCAAGAAAAGTGCTTGTGTTGGCTGGGAA